AAAAGCTTAGATTGATATTTGAATCAAATTTAGTCAAATATATATGAATGTTATGTTGGAATGGTTCAACATAAGGAAATTCTATGTATGAAAATGATACGTACTAGCCACAACATCAGGAGCTGCGCGACCACCTTCGTAGTCAGCTGGAAAGCTCTCCCACGAGCTCTTGGAACCTCGGCCTTCACCAGCGACCATCAGTAACGCGCAAAGCAGCAGGAGCAGAAGCCTGGGTTGATCCCTGTGTGATCTGAGGACACTCGACCTTCCGATGGCCGGTCTGGTTGCAATGAAAGCAAACCAAAAATCCCTTGGGGTAGTCCTTTTCCATATGCCCCTACTTTCCACATTTGTAGCAAATCCCTACTCGGAAAGATCCCTCATGACTCTCGCTGCACTTGCCAGCGGGCTTAGCTCGCGTAGTCGTCGGCTGCGATTGTACTGCTCTCCTGTCTCTACCCTAAGACTCCCCCTCCTCTCTAACCTGAATCTACAGCTCAATCTCCCTCCTCTTGGCATTGGTCTATAGCTCAGCCAATGTCCGACATGATGAATTCGCCACGAACTCCCGAATGTCTCGCCTCAATATGCTCAAGTACCGGCTCACACGTCCCTGCTCCGTAGACACGTGTCCGGGGAAAAACAACGCCCTCTCATGAAACATCCTAGTAATCTCTGTCACGGTTTCTGTCTTTTGCTTGAGAGACAGAAACTCCTGGTCCAACCGCTCCTTCTCCACCCGGGGAACATACTCATCTCAGAATAGCTGTGTAAACATTTCCCATGTCACTGTTGCATGGTCTGCAATCAGTCGTCACCAACCTCCACCAGTCCTTCGCTCCCAAGCGAAGCTAGTTCATCGTAAATCGAACCTTCAGGTCCTCAGGGCATTAACAAGTATAGAAACATCCCTCAATATCATAAATCCGTCTCATAGCAGCAATCGGGTCCTGGGTCCTGTCGAACTCTAGTGGCTTCGTGTTGCTAAATTCCCGAAGCAACAACGAATCACCCCCGTGAGGCCTCGCAGCAGCTAGGGTTGCAGTAGATGCGGAAACAACAGCCTCTGTGACAGCAGCATATCGCTCATCAAAAGTCTCAATCAGTTTGGTCTTAGTAGACCCAAACATCTCTTCTATGAACTCCCTGATAGCTGCGGCCACCTCAGTCGCAATGATCCTGCGAATCTCCTCATCACTGGTATTCCCCCTCTCAGGGTTACCTGAGCCTGATCCTCTGGTAGCAACCATAGTCTCTATCTGAAATAAAACACAGAAATCATCAAGAACAGGCTAAAGCACACATGCATTTACTCATCTATACATGTTTGTTAGAATCTTGATATTCCTACTTGGGTCGCGTACCGATCTGGTTCTTTCAATAGTACTGGCCCAATACTACCTTCCACACCAACCCGTATTTATCCTATGTCCTCAACCTAGAATCCTAATTCACAGGTACCATGTCCCTCATGGATATCAAACTACTCTCTCAGTAAATCTCTCAATGCACATCTAGGTATCTCTCCTAGTTTACTCCTCGACTCAATACTCTCTCTAAAAGATTCATGCTAGGTACTCCTAATCAACACATACAGAGCAAATAGCAGACAATATCAATCAACAACATTCCCTAGGCTAAGGCATCATGAATCAGGAAACTCCAGCTCTAAATTCCTGAAATACCTTCTCTAGCATGCAACTCTAACATATCATAAGTATCTCATAATATAAACAAGTAATGGTATTTTGGGAAATCACCGTTCGGGCTCTGGCTGATTGTATACACTGTTTCATCTTGTTTTCTCTTAAAAGATCTTACTCGTTTTAGAAAAATCATTTCTTTTTAGAAAATTTTCTCAAATCCTCAGTTTGAGTCCAGACATACCCGATGGTACATCCGAATCCCGCAAACGAAGGCTCTGATACCAACTTGTAACACTCTAAATTTTCAAATAAATTTTTCATTTTTAAAATCACATAAAACACAATATCACATTTCTCAAAAGCCACATAATGTATAAGTTATCAAACACAAGGAAACAAAATGTTTGAGAATATACCAAAATCCTCAAAAGAACATAAACTGTAACTGGTGAGTACAATCAAGTCGGCGCCTTCCCGCAATCCTGAGAGGTACCTGAAACACATATCACACAACACTGTAAGCAAGAAGCTTAGTGAGTTCCCCAAAATACCACATACACCAATAATAAGCCTCTCATGGCTATAGCTCGGTATGGACCCTCCAGTCACGTGTCTCAATGAAGGCCCTCCAGTCTCTCAACTCGGTTTGGACCCTCCGGTCCTAACTCGTAAACCCTAGAATAATATATAGCATAAATCACAAAGACAAAATGCATAATATCCCATAACTCAGTATAAGCACATAAGACCCTCCGGTCAATAACTCAAATAAGACCCTCCGGTCACATAGTATTACCACTCGAGTTAGTATAGTGAGAAGACTTACCTCGTTGTAGAACTGTTTAATCACGTAAGAAAGAAATAAGAGTAATCAACGTAATATGAACACGTAGAGTAAATAAGATCTGGTTTATAGCTCAATTATACTTTCGAATACAAAGAGTGTGCTAGACAGAATGATCGGGAAAAAGTTCTATCTAACTCTGAGTACACCTCATATTTATAGGAGAATATGAAAGTATACAAAAAATAATAAGGGCTAAACATCGATACTTCGAAACTAATATGCCTTAGTAAATAGATTATAGAATTTGAAACTACTCAAATATATTTGACATCTTACAACCTAATTCGACACCTACAATCTCCCCCTTTGTAAGCAATGTCGAATCTTCAATTCATCAGTATTTGAGCAGCCATATGCATCATTCTTCTGATTTCCGAATACCAAGTCATAACCTTCTTCAATTCTGCTTTATCGCCTTCGTTGTTTTTCTTACAGCTGTTCATACGCACAATTAAGTTTGTATACTGAGCAGTTATTTATCTTTCGACTTCAGCAGCTTGGAACAAAAACTTCGTGGTTTTTCCTTTCTTGTTCTTCCCAGTGAAAACCAAACCAAAGGGCTTTAAAAATATTTCACCATCAACATATTTCTTCAACTCAGCTTGGCTTTTCACCACTTCTTGTGAAACCTTTACTTCTTTTCACATCGAAGTAGCCAATTCAATATCAGTAAGAGCTAGACAATCATAGTAATTGTCTATGAAAATTTTGATGTGACCAAGACCAAGTCTCAAATTTTCCTTGCTTGTTCCTTGAAGCTTCGAAGCATCCATATCCTTAAGAATCAATGCAACTTGAATAAGGTCATTCAAGTTCATTAGTGGAAAATCAGCTACTGAAAAGTCGAAAGCCACATTGTTTGCTCTCACTACATGATAACGAAAATTCTGAATCATGTTCTCGAACATAACATCCTTAGTCACACATATCACTCGAACAATCTTGATAAGGTACCAAACCTCCTCCTGATCCTTTCCCAACACTGCATGAAATCTAATCTTCATATGTAAAAATTCATCGATATCTTTGAATTTATCGACAATTTTATACTGCGCTGTTATGAACATCATCTCGTTAATTGGGAAATCAAGCTGGTTCATATCAGTGTTTTCTATCTCATAGCTTTTCCTTGGCTTTTTCTAGAATGCATACATCTCATTATATGACACTCTTGCTTCGATATTTTCATAGCTATGCAACTTCCTCGGATCGCCTTTATCCAAATTTGAAGGATCATTTTCTTTAAGTCTCAAAATGCTCTGGATTTGTCTTTGCTTCTCCATTTTAGCTTCAATTTATGCTTTCTTCTGTTCTTTCGAAAGTTCTGTACTAATACCTTTTCCTTTCCCTTTGTCAGCCTCTGTGATAGGTTTTATAACTTTCGAACTCCCTCCTTCTCCTGACGAACCAATAACAATACCTTTTTGAATAGGTTTTGTTGTTATTGTTGTTGCCATAACAGGATCAACTTTCTTAAACAATGTTGTGGGAATCTGAGTTGACAAGTATTTCCCAACCACCTTCGCATCATCGTTTATCTTCCTAGAACCCTCTTCTCCTTTTCCAACCACCTTTTCTCCCCCTTGCACCCCTATGACAACAGGTGGGGCATTTGTTGGTAAAAGGGTAGTAAACTGAGATAGAGGTGCCAACTCCTTCTGAATCTCCTTTTCAAGAGATTGAAATTTTTGAGTTAGAAACTCAGGAAATAAAGAAGATGATGATCCAGACTTCGAAATGGATTGTTTCAAATCCTCAAGCATTGTATCCAATTTGCCAAAGTTTGAAAGATCAGCAGCAGCTTTCGCATCAACTTTGGGGATCGGAGATTGAAATGATTCAAAGAACTTCGTCACTGCTGCTGCAATTATATCAACCTTCGAAAGCAGAGAAGAATAATCAGTACTAGACTCATTAACATCTTTCGATACTTCGACCTTCAGCTCCTCAACCTTCCTGTTAACATCTTCCCGAACCGTTTTGACATCCTTGACAAAAAGAACATTTCGTTCTTTTGCCACCATTCTTAGTTCCTTGATTTCGCCATTAAATGAGTCAGATTGTGCCTTAACTCTGAGCTCATTATTTTTATCCATCAAATCAAGTTTTAGTCGAAGTCGAAGCTTCTGGGCCTTGAGCATGACATCGATTTCAAGTCCTGAAACTGAGTTCGGTCCCCCCTGCGTCAGCTTGTGATTGCAGAATAGAGTTGAGCTTTCGATTAAGAATTTTAAATTGTTTGCCAGACATTAGCATATGATCCAGAATTTCTTCTTCCTCATGATCAAATTCTAAGTCTGCAAACGAACCAATAAAACCTCCTCTATCGGTTTCGTGATCAGATGTGGTTTTGGGTGGATTAGTAGATTGAGAAATGACCACGGTATTAATGGGTTGTTGTAGGATGTTGTCGAAAGTGGGTGAGTTGTTTGTAGTAGTGACTTTCGAAACAAACGGTGGAAGTGAAGTAGTGGGATTTGTTGTGATATTTTCAAAAGTAGTGGATTTTATGATCTGAGAGGTACCTTTCGAAGATTCAGGATTCAATGCACACTTACCCATAATGACATTTGCACCCGTATCAGATATGTTTGCAATGATGCCTGAAGTGCGAACCTCCTCATTAAATGATTTGGTTGTCGACACTTCGTGTGGAATTACTTCAATTTCCTCCGGTGTAGACTTCTTTTGTGATGATATGGAAGGTAACTGAGTTTCTGGTACAATTTCATCATATACTGAATCTTGACGAATAATTAGCCTCCTTTTCTTTTGCTTCTTGGTGATGTGTTTCGCAACATCTTCAACCCTCCTCTTTTTCAATGAAGGAGAAACTGGTGTAGGTATGTCACGAATTATAACACCTCTGTGAGTAACATGAGGCTTTCTAACCATAGTTGGAGAAAAACTGTACGATCTTTCAGGAGAGTGCCTTGGTCCGTTTGATTTCTTCTTAAGTCGCTTCAAAATGCCTGATTTCGACGGCACCAAATTCTTCGAAGGTATATCTTTTACAGCCTCAATAGGCTTTTCCACAATTTTCGAAACTTTAACTGCATCACCAGCTTTCTTCTTAGGAGACTTCATGCTTTCCTTCCCTTGAAGTTGTTTCGAAGGACTAGCATCTACAACTTTCTTAGACTTGCGAGATTTCTTGGAAGAACCCTCATCACCTCGAGGAAAAAGAACGCCAGTTTCCACAGAAGGATTGATGGTTTTCAAATAAGCCACCAGTACTGGGTTTGCAGGGTCTACTTTCTTAAGCATAGCATCAGGAATATGTGCTATCCTTGGAAACACCTCTTCATCATATTCAACTATCTTCGGAAAAATGATACTTCAAGAATTCAGCTTTGGGTTCATCAACAGGCACTTGAATTCCTTTTTTATCATATGCATAACGAATGATAAGACTCCAATACCTTGCACATGAAATCCCTTGAATGACATTTGTGTTTTCCACACTCTTTAGAAACTCCTTCCACATTTGCGTAGCATAATCAACCGGCATATCATAGTAAATACCAGCAACCATGGCATATACTTCCAGTCTCCCTATATCAAGACCAACGCTTCGACCAGTAAGGCATCAAAGGTAAATTCCAAATAAAAAGTTCCAGATACAAGGCCGACCAGACTTTTTAAACTCACTAATTTTGGTGAGAGTAGGTTGATAACCCATCTCATTGAACATATGAAGGACTTGATCATTCGTAACGTTGTAGAATGGTGGAGAATTAGGGATTTAAAGAATTTGAGTAAACAGCTTCTTGGAGATGCGAAATTTCTTGTCATTTACTAAGTTAAATGTGACCACATCCATTGCCTTGCTATAAGTTGTAGTAGAACCAGCCAATGAAAGCCAAGACATTGGAACATCAAACGAGTTGAACATTGCAGTTGACAAGACTGAATGTTTCAGAGCAACGATTAGCATCTTCAGTTCTTCTGGGTACACAGATACATCACCATCGACTTGGTAATTAGTACTTTGGATTTTCATGATCGGCTGTGAAGAAACATCTTCAGTGGTAGTGGTTTGAGTAGCAGTTATTGATTAGGATTTGTTGAAATTCGATGAACAGAGAAAAATTAGGGCTCAAATCGCCTTGTGAATTCTTTTTGAAAGCGTAAAGAGTGAAAGACCAACAATTTCCCCTTTTATACGTATCTTCAATTTGAATCCCAATCGTTAACATTAATGGTCATGCCATGTAACCCCTTGAAACACGCACCACCAACTGTTGAGACGGCCATTTCAGAAAAAGTAATGGGCATGACAACCGAGAAACACGCTTAGTAGCTCAACTGTATCACCAGAAAACGTTTCGAAAGTCCAATAGTGTGCCAAAGAATTAGATAATAAACAAATAAAGAAAACTTTGGTTCTGTGATGTCAAAAATTATTTCGACATAAAAGCAGAAAAATTCCAGGCAAAGATTGCTTCGTTATTCATCAAGAGAGATGACTAACTGCTTGTGTGTTTTCTCGTGAATTACAATCGATAACTTGTAAAGAAGTTTCGAAGGGACTCTTTTGAATAGGCTTCTTTAGATGGTTTAATGATTTCGTTACATATCAGCACTTGACATAAGTGTGAGTAATTGTAACTGAAATTACTTGTTTGACCAGTGTAATAAGTGACAAGTAGGCTTTGGAAATTTTTTTATGAAATGACAAGGATGCTATTGGGTAACAAATGTCGTGGGTTTCAAACATTTGATCAAAATCACTTAAAAAGGAAATAATATTATTTGGAGTATCGAAAATTTGCTACTGAAACAAATGTTTCGTGATTTTTGGAACACAGTTCCCCGTCAATTCCTTGAATATTTCGAAAATATGGGTTTCACTTTCATCAAGGCCTCATGAATGAAGATCATTAACACATAAGTTTGTAATGTCTAAATCCTGACTGGTTTTTGTCAGAGATCTTAAGGACATATGTATTTGTGTGTGAATGTGTAAGAATTTTAGGATGGAAAAGATTGATGTAGAATCGAAAGTAGCTCTGCTATATATGGACCAAGCATTAAACTCTTAACTCATTTGAGAAGAGTAAGGTATCTCATGGACAAATGTGAATACAGCCTGATTGGGATGAAATTGTCGAGATGAAAATTTCATTAAGGCTTCGATACCACACATTGTGTCAAAGGAGGCTTAGGTTGACATGCTGGATCATGCTTCTAGGGACAACTTAACTAGTACACAGTTTTTCAAAATAATACCTGACCCCAGAATCGCAAGCATGACCCTTTGAAATATCTTCATGGAAAGCTACAAGAAACAAAGTGAACTACGAACAAGAACAATAAGAAAATCTTTTTTGTTTTTGGTTATGTGAAGAAAATAACAAAAATAGGAAAAGCTTTTTGTATTTTTGAATTTTTCGAAAATTAAACAAAACGAAAATATTTTTGGTGTTTTTGATTTTTCGAAAAGAAAGAACGAGCAAAAGAAAATTTTCGAAAGTAAAACATGAAAAAGAAATGTACCAAACTTGCGAAGATTTTTCATGTAGCCAAACATCATGATGTCAAAAGCGAAGTGTGTCGAAGCGTTGACTATGAACAGTAGCAGCTGAACAATGAACAGTAACCGCTTAATGGACATCCCTGCTTAACGTTCGTGAGCTATTCTTTCGAAGTTGTTCCTGGAACGGAACTCGCATCCATCATCCCCAACCCTGTCAAAATTCTAACAAATGATTTTTCATCTAAGGGTTTTGTGAAGATATCAGCAAGCTGATCAGTCGTCTTTACAAAATGAACTTCGATATTTCCATCTTCCACGTGTTCTTTTATAAAATGATAACGAAGTGCAATGTGCTTAGTTTTTGAATGTTGCACAGGATTGTGACAAATGCGTATAGCAATTTGTGAATCACAATACAATGTAATCTTTTTCATATTTATTGCATAATCGCACAATTGTCTTTGGATCCAAATGATTTGAGAAGTGCAAGTTGCAGCAACAACATATTCAGCTTCAGCAGTCGAAATTGCGACACAAGTTTTCTTTTTCGATTGCCAGTTTACAAGCTTCCCATCTAATAATTGAAATTTGCTGCTTGTACTCTTTCTATCAAGACTGCAAGCTCCCAATTCTGCATCTGAAAATGCTTGAATGAAAAAGCCTGATTTCGAAGGATACCATACTCCTAACGAAATTGTTCCTTTGAGATATCGACAAATGTTCTTCACAGCAGTCAAGTGAGGTTCTTTGGGATTTGATTGGTACCTTGCACAATTACAAACATAAAACATAATATCAGGTCAACTTGCCGTGAGGTAAAGTAACGAACCTATCATGCTTCTGTATAAAGTTAAATCAACAGTTGGTTTGTCTAACGAAGGTGTGAGCCTTGTTCCTACTGCCATTGGTACTCGTAACTTTGTGCTATTCGTCAATCCAAATTTTTCCAGCAGATTCTTTGTGTATTTTTCTTGATTAATGAAAATTCCTTCTCTGCTTTGACGAATATTTAAGCCCAGGAAATTATTTATTTTTCCCATCATACTCATCTCGAACTGACTTTTCATAAAATTTTCGAATTCACTAGACAAAGCAGTGTCAGCAGAGCCAAAAATAATATCATCGACATAAATTTGAACAAGCATGAGATGATTCCCAACTTTCTTTCGAAAGAATGTGGGGTCAACTAATCCTTATTTAAATTTTGATTGTTTTAAGAAAATGGTAAGAGTTGCATACTAGACCCTTAGAGCTTGTTTTAACCCATAAACAGCTTTATCTAAGATATAACAATGATCAGGAAATTCTACATTTACAAAACTTGGGGGTTTTTCAACATAGAACGTTTCTTCGAGTTCTCCATTAAGAAATTCATACTTAACATCCATCTGGTAGACATCAAAATCCTTGTGCGCTGCATAGGCTAAAAATATTCGAACAGCCTCGAGTCTTGCGACAGGGGCAAAGGTTTCTTCATAGTCGATACCTTCTTGTTGCGAATAGCCTTTTACTACAAGCCTAGCCTTATTTCGAACAATATTACCATCTATGTCGGTTTTATTTTTGAAAATCCATTTTAACCCGACAATCGAAACATCTTTTGGTTTAGGAATTAATCTCCAAACCTTGTTTATTTCGAATTCAGCCAATTCAGATTGCATTGCAACAACCCAATCTGATTGTTCCATTGCAGCCTTAACTAACTTTGGTTCTATTTTCGAAATAAAAATATTAAGCATGCAAAACTCTTGATGAGCATTGAGTACCTTATTATTTGCACGTATTTGAGCTCTTGTTAACACTCCATCTTGTTGATTTCCAATAACTTGTTCTTTTGGATGATTTCTTGTCCATTTTTCCAGTGGTGGATATGCTGGATCAAAATCCAATGGTGCATCTTCAAACATCTCATCGTTTTCTAAACCTGCAACATAAATATTGTCATTTGAATCATGAAAGGTTTCACTTTGATTCAAATTCGACATGTTTGTATCATTATGCTCCCCCTCGACGTTGACATCATTAAGATGCTCCTCCTCGACATCTCCATCCATTCTCCTATTCTCCCCCTCGAAAGAATGCTCCCCCTCTACCTGAGAAGTTGAATGCAAGTGCTCCCCCTCCACTTGATCATTTACCAGTCTTTCGCTATTTCTTGGAGAATTTGATGTCGAATTCAAATCTGAATTCTCTTAGATCAATGTCGATGTGTCAGAATGTTTGGATGCTTCACACATGTGATTGTCCTCAACACTGACTTCAGCATCAACCACTCTTCTAGAACACCAAAAATTAAATCATAATCAAAATCTGTTGAATTCTCACTTTCAGGCTCAACATTAGATTCATTAAAAATTGGAAATTGTTCGAAAGATTTTTCAACTCTTTTAACGTAATTATCATCAAAAGTGACATTAAACGTTTCTTCCACTTTTTTGTGTTCGTTTATTCAACACCCTATATGCAACCGAGTTGTGTGAATAGCCCAAGAATATTCCTTCATCAGCCTTAGACTGAATTTTGAAAGATTATCCTCGAGATTCATAATAAAACACCTGCATCCAAAAGCGTGAAAGAATTTGACATTAGGTTTTTGGTTATTGATTAT